GGGGGGGCTCTTTGAGTGGTCAGAGTATGGAAATGCCAAATAAGGACCAATTCATTTACAAGAAAAATAAATGTAGTGATTTTTTTGAGAAACAAAAAAAAAAAAAGAAGCTAAGGCAACAACATGGTTCCTGATTTCATCTAATCTTACTTGTCAGTTCTTCTAAATCTTAATCCAAAAACATCCCTCAGAAGTCCCTCATGATGACCCCCCCTCCCCCGCCCCAAATCCCAATTTGCACACAAGAAGATCGCAAAAGTCCTGCCTCAGATAAAGGAAGGGACCTAAAGGTCAGACGAGGTTATTGGGGAATAACCCTTTATCCAGTGTCAGGAAAAGGCCGTCTGGATTAGCGATGCAAATGTCCTATTTCTGATCAGTGGCTTGGCCTTCACTCTGTCACAATCCACCTTTTATGTGGCTGTTGAAATATAGCAGGCAAGTAAACAAAAATGTACTCCTACTAAGATCAGTAAAATAAATAAATAGAAAATTTTAGGGGAAAACCTGCAAAACACTCAAAACAAACATCGCCGCTCCCTGCTGCACGTCATCGCACACTATTCTGAGAATGCATCTATTAAGGAAAAAAAAAACCCAAACATTATTCATTTGCAGAATTTTGCTTTAACTCTCCTATAAATAAACAAATAAATTAAAATAAATAAATTAATTAAAAAAAAAATCAATCACTAATCACTGGAGTATTTGACCCTGTATGAAACTACACACTCGCTCGGTGCTGTTAAATTTCGTTGAGAAACAGTTTCCATCACAGATACACTGATTCAATCACACCTTTGTTGAAGTGAACCAAAGCTTTCTGTTGTCCCATCAAACTGACAAACGGCTATCCTCCAGCTAATCCCCGACAAATCAACTGCTTTTCGATAGCCTAAATAAACATTTTCTCTGCGCAGAAATTCAAGGGATCACTGTTACACTTTTCCTAAAGGATTAAACAGATCTGCCTTTGCTTTTAAAGGAAGGCAGGGAACCTACCATTGCCCGGCCCTGAAGGCCCAGGGTGCCCTTTTGATCATTTCAGTCTCTCCTTGGTGCAATACTTCTGATTGGCCAAGAGAGTAAGAAGGGGGAAAATCTTTAATTAAGCAGATAATCTCTTGTTGGGACGAGAGCAGCTCCATTTCAGAGCCCCCGCCTTGAATCCTGGAAGCCCTTGTGAAGTTTCATGTGCTGGTAGCTCAGTGTCCTCTCCATCTTCACGCCGTCTGCAGCTTTGGACGAGTTGCCGTCTCTTCCCTCCCCTCACCTGTCAGGATGTTCATGCACTGGGAGGTTTTTTATTACATTTTCATTCTCCTGACTCACATGAGGTCCACCTGCTGCTGGTAAGTTGGTTTATTATGAAATATTAGCCACTTTCTTGGCTATGACGTCCGCTCCAAATAGCCTACTGAAAAGGATTAACTGAACACACGCGGGGAACTTTTATTCATTTATTTATTCGAAAAATAAAAGCCCAATTTATTTAATAGAATTATTTAATAATGAACCTTTTATAAAGGACTTATTGGGTTTGAAGGTGGTTAATAAGCACTTAGTGTTGGCTAAATATAAGCCGTTTATGAGGTCGATTTGCGGGTTGCCAGGTTTTGAAAATTCCCTGAGATTTCTAACAAACTAAAATCCATCAACCAGTGAGATTTTTTTTTCTTGACTAAGTCAATAAAATAAACATTTCCACATCAGTTCCCACTTTTAAAAAAATCTTTCAGTAGTGTGGTTCACTAAAGTTTGAATACCCACCGGTGTCATAGTTTAACATGTTACAAAGTGCACTAATGAGAGATGAATTAGCAGAGGAATTTGTGGAGGACACTGAGCTTCCCCGGGTGAATAAGCTGTCTCCTTTTCCAGGTCAGTGAATAATTTCTTGATGACTGGACCCAAGGTAAGCCAACTTTCTTTTGATCTTCTCTCCTCTCTGCTTTTCACAAAAGAGAAAGACACTTCTTATGAGATCTTAACTCAAGTTTAGGGACAAATTCTGGTACCTGTCTGCGTTGAACAATGGTGCTACATCTGTGATATTCTTGGACTTTTGTGATTTTTTTTCTTTACCCCCCCATCCGTACACTTGACCTTATTCAAAGGCTCTGTGTAGCCGAGGGTTGAATGTGTTAAGAGGCAAGAGCAGGCACTGCTGTAGTGGGTGGTCATCATTAGTGATCCAGACCCCTGTGAAAGAGGTGGTACTCCATCTCCCTGAAGGCCACTTGAGACATATTAGTTATATTATCATTCACACAGTCCGAACAAGCAGCAGAGCGGCAGGCGAAACCCGCACAGACGGCGCTTTGAGACTTTACTGCAGCTGATGAGAGCTCCACATGCAAACTGAGCCGCTTCATAGTGTTTTTGTCACATAACTGACAGATATCATCTATTTAATCTGTCTGTTAAAGAGTAACCACTTTATACCAGCTTCTTCCGCATTTTAAACTCCACATAGTAACTTAAAATTTGCACTGATAAGAAAGTGACATGAAAGCAGTGGATTTAACACTAGCAAATGTGAAAGTCACACATCCTTGATCCAGTCCCTCATAATCTTTTAGTCCCGCAGATAGCAGCGACTGACTTTCCCTGTACTTGATCAAGCTCATTCAACCGTGTTTCCTAAAAATATAATATGATGCTTGTTAGGTAGGATGCATCCTGGTACTGAAATCACAGCAGATGCCATGTTGTGAAATCACACTGCTGTTGCTGTAAAATGTGCATTGTATTATAACGCAGGCATACCTGATCTACTCAAGCAGCGTGGCAGCAGGAGCTCAGAGTGGCATAGAGGAGTGCAAATACCAGTTTGCATGGGACCGCTGGAACTGCCCCGAGCGAGCTCTGCAGCTATCCACGCACAGCAGCCTGCGCAGTGGTAAGTCCTGACCCCCCCCCCCCCCCCCACAGAACAACTCAACGCCATCCCAAATATTCCCACACGCCTACGAGGCTGAGATTCCAGCTCATGGCAAACATGGCAGATTTTCAAAGATGGTTAAAAAGTGGTATGCAACTGTGTGCTTTTGTTTTGTTTTGTTTTTAGGTTTATTTCTAATGCTTGAGTCTTTTTGTCTTCTTTGTGTCATACAAATATTTGCTTAGTCCAAAGATTTGGGATTGTTACAGAGGCAAGTAAGACAAGAGCCAAAAAAAAGCACTCATGTCCCACTGAATCACAGCCTCTACATACAGAGATCCACAAACACAAAGAGACAGATTTGTTAGGTAATATAAAATAAAATTAGTTTAATTTAGAGAATATTTATAATAACTGTCATTGAGGGTTTTACTCTCCTGGCACGAAGGCGGGATTTATTTTCAAAATAATTTTCATTAAAAAAACAACAGCAACAACACAAAATACATAAAGTTAAACTCTCTCTGTAGTTAATTTAACTTAGTGGAAGGAAGCAACTGGAGTATAATTGTGTGAATGTATTAGACAACATAGCTAACAAGTTTCTCCGATGATGACAGCAAATCGAGAGACAGCGTTTGTCCACGCCATCAGCTCGGCTGGCGTTATGTACACCCTAACCCGGAACTGCAGCCTTGGAGACTTTGATAACTGCGGCTGTGATGACAGCAGAAATGGACAACGAGGTCAGAGAGATACACGGACGCGTACATGACATGCGAAAGGACAGTTTTCGCTTCCTAAAGCGATTCCAGTATTTCATTCTTTTTGTTTTATAGGTGGTCACGGGTGGCTCTGGGGTGGCTGCAGTGACAATGTTGGCTTTGGTGAGGCCATCTCCAAACAGTTTGTTGATGCCTTAGAGACTGGACAGGATGCACGGGCAGCCATGAATCTCCATAACAATGAGGCTGGGCGCAAGGTACAGTATGCCCTCTTAATTTACCTGATCAACTTGGAAATGAAAAACTAGCATCTTGCATGAGATGCAGTACAATCATGCAATATTATGGCTTTAATTAACCACTCATTATTTAAACTGGGTGGCATCCTGGCTTAAAATGTAGGAATCTTACACGGCCCTCCGACTGATTGCAGATTGTAAAGCACCTTTTGAATCATTTTTCCCTGCGCAGAATTACGCTGAGTGTGCCACCCAAGCATCCCTTTCACGTCGCTATAAGTGAGGTGCCACTCGTCTCCAATAATAACAGCGTGTTCGGTGTACCAGAAGGGCCTATTTACCAGTGCTGAATGCTCCTTATGACAAAACCTCAACTCAAGAATCTCAGGATCACTGGTGCACGCTTAATTAGAAATCCTGGGGAGCCAGACATTGCACGGCATTCTGTATTATTCTGCTTTTTTAAAATAAGTGTTTAGTTTTATTCTTGCAATAAGGATCCCACATTTATGTTGGTCTTTGTTTGGCCCCGAGGGAGTCTGAGGGGACCACAGGCGTGCAGCTGAAATGGTCTTTGTTTACGGTGCCTTTACTCCCCCCTGTTGGGCCCTGGGATCCCCATGGCACCTGGAGCATCATTGTAACAGAAAAAAATGGGGATAGAAAGAGAGAGGGAAAAAACCCTCCTTTTTCATTTATCCACTCAATGGGACTCTCCATTGGGTCGTCTCACACTAGAAAACATGTTGATAATGAACATGCTAAATAAATACTTCTATTTATTCTACGAGGAACAATGCGACCCGATGTGAAACTTTGATTCAGCCTCACTTCAACAGAAAGTTCATCCCCTCTTCACGGAAAGAAAACACCGCTTTTCAATTGACAGCTGTTTTGTGTTGGTTGAAGTCAGGAAACACAATGGATGACAAGGAACTCCGCGATGGACCTCGAAGCTATCATTTCTTCCTTTTCAGCGCATTCATGCCTTTATCTGAAAAACTTTAAGAATACAATCAGTTAATTTGACCACACGTCAATCAAGAATTTGCAGGAAATGTATGCACCAACACACAATTACAGTTTTTATGTTTTGACAGTTTTTCCACTAAACTCAGAGCAAAACACAGTTTTCTTTAATGTAGTGAACTATTCCTATTTATTTTGATAACGTGAACTGTGTCTGTGTGCCCAGGCTGTGAAGGGAACCATGCAGAGGACATGCAAGTGCCATGGCGTGTCAGGAAGCTGCACAACTCAGACCTGCTGGCTGCAGCTGCCAGAGTTCAGAGAGGTGGGGAACTACTTGAAGGAGAAGTACCACAGGGCGCTGAAAGTAGACCTTCTGAGAGGAGCGGGGAACAGCGCGGCCAGCAAGGGGGCCATCGCCGAGACCTTTAGTTCCATCTCCCGTAAGGAGCTGGTCCACCTCGAGGACTCTCCTGATTACTGCCTGGAAAATCGCACTCTGGGTTTGCCTGGCACTGAGGGCCGCGAGTGCCTAAAGAAAGGCAAGAACTTGAGCAAATGGGAGAAGCGAAGCTGCAAGAGACTATGTGGGGAGTGCGGCCTGGCTGTGGAGGAGCGTAAGGCTGAGATGGTGTCGAGCTGTAATTGTAAATTTCACTGGTGCTGTGCAGTAAAGTGTGAGCAGTGCAGAAAGACGGTGACCAAGTACTTTTGTGTGAAAAAAGGAGGTCAGAGGGGAAGAAGCGAGAGCGCCGGTAGCCGCAGGAAGAACCTCAGACTGAGGAAGAAGCACTGAGGATCTTAATGATTTCTTGCAGCTCCCCGGCAGATTCTTTTTTAGATAGTTTGTTTTGGATAAAAGGACGATCTCAGACCGTCGTCAGTGTCCACAGTGTTTTAAAAGTAAACACAACGGCCACAAGGTAGAGGAGATGAGAAGGGTTTTTAACAAATTTATAGATGGTTAGGAATAAATGTATTTAAGATATATTTTTTATATTTTTTTACAACATCTTGAAAAGTCACTTGGCATTTGAAGAGTTTTTATCTGCTTTCAAAATTCTCCACAACTTCATGTATTTATTTTCATGCAGATACACAATCTTGGTGGATGTGGCTATTGTGGCATAAATAACTTATGTGTGTGTGTATATATATATATATATATATATATATATATATATATACACATATATATATATATATATATATATATATATATATATATATATATATATATTTATATACACATATATATGAACCTGTCAGTAATCTTTGTATATAAAACACCCATCAGTGTCAAGTTTTGAATTTTCTCTCCCGTCATTTGGCTTGTTGTGACCTTTGCTCCACTTCTTCATGTATTTAATTGTACATAAAATGAAGCACTTTGTACTGTACATTGTTAATTTATTGCAAAGCATTTTCTAGTTTTGCTTTATTGTTAGTTTTCTTTGTGGTTTGTTTACTATTAAAATGCCATAAAAGAATAATAAATCCATCATTCAGCCTGGAGAGAGTACTCATCCTTCTTTAACACACTCTTTGTGACAGTAATACCCCGCCGTTTGGAGTAAACACAGCATTACGCTTCACATTCCTCCCACTGGGGTTCGGATACCAACAAGAATAGAAAATTTTCCAGCATACTCTTCCTTCCATCACGCCTTTCTCAATTTCGCCTCAACAAATACCTCCTATTCTCTCCCTCATCATGGTAATCCTCAAAGAGCCCCCTAACTCCTGAGCGCTTGGAAGTTTCTTCACTGTTTAATACTAGTTTAATTAACTTTGTCCAGACAGAGTAGGACCATGGGGGTGGAGGGCATGAGGCAAGTTGCCCTTAAAAATCATCCCGCCTCTAATTTTGTATGCTAATCTCCTTTTTCACGCCGCACCTCCTTAGGAGTGGGGGAAAGAAGTGTTGGGAAAACTTTGGGCTAGCTGTGCAAGGCTTCCTGTGGCTGTTTTATTTCTGGGCCCACCTATTTGGATCCTTTCACTCCTCTAGGGCCTGCCTTTGCTCGATTTAACAATGAATGCAGAGCTAATCAGCTCTCTCGGAAATGCACCACTGTCGAGGAAGGTAATCCCTTCTTCTCCACTCTCAATGGGCTGTCGCCTTCTAAAGGACTTTGGGAAAAGGCTTTGCACAGATTCACACTGTTCGCTCAAAAGAAGTTAGTTCAAGTATTGTGCCCAAACAAGTGGGTTTTATAAACACATGCTTGCCAGGATACTCACCCCACCTGCGAGTAAGAAGTGCCAGGCTCAGGCAAACTAGCACATGGCAGGCGAAGCTGAAACCCTTCAGACAAGAAGAGACATGAAAGGGGAGATTAGAGTCCCTATTGAGATGGGGGCATTCATTTCTGCACCTTCCTCCTTTTACTCAATGAAGTGTCAAGGAAACACCTTGTTGACATCTTATTTACCAAATAATGATTATAATCAAAACTCCTCTCTCCTCTGATGACCCCCGTGGGCTGGTCAGATCACTCTGACTGGCATGCAGCAAAACCCTCGCACCAACAAAAGCCCCGCGGCTTTGCAGTCCTGCAAATTTGTTGTGTTAGGGAGTACAACAGAGGCACAAAATGTTCATTCACTGCATTCAAAGGTAATGCAGAAATATAATTAGGACAAGCGTTTTGGATTAAACCTAACAAAGCCACTTTAGACTCAGTGTGCACAATGCAGTGATTCTCATTTGTGCTTTCCTCTCCATGCTGCCATCCAGTAATTCGCCATCAGCAGTCGTTTGCTGCCCACTTACACCCGCGTGTGAAAAAGCACCCCAGAGAGTGAGGAAAGCATGCTGGCACAACAATCGGTTAACGTGTGGGAAAGCTGAACACACTAAACACATTTTAACCTCCTAAGACCTGGCGTCCACATATGTGCACATCACATTTTGGGTTGTCTAGACCAAAATACTAAATTTTGCTCTACAAGGGCCTGATATCCACTTACAAGGACATTATACTGTTATATCAGAATTTAAAGCGAATGTCCTCATATGTGGATCTCATTTTTCTCAGAAAAAAAAACAAGTAAAAATAGGTTAAAAGAAATCACATAATTCTTTGTTTTTACATTCATCAGGTCCCAATCAACCCAAATAGCAAAGAGAAACTAAAAATGCATGCCATGAAAGAGTTCGGGTCTTAGGAGGTTAAAGTTGAGCAGTTTGACACATCTGTGAAATTATTCTCCTGTTCAGTGAATGAGATCTAAAATCAGGGGCTGGACTATAAGATCAGCTGAGAAGATTCACAAGGACAGAGAACATTAATGCTCACTCTAACTCTAAATTGTTGCTTTACTATAATTTTTTTTATTACTATTACATACCTTCAATATATTTGGACTACAATAAAAAAAAAAGCTGGCAGATAGACATAAAGTTTGATGCAAACACCAGCATTTTCCTCAAATGCGCTACCCCACACCCTGATGAACTGAAGAGAGCTGACCTGAATTAACCAAATATTATCACGGATGTGAGAAACAGCGCAAAGTGTTCATCGCTGAGCCGGGCACACAGTTTCCCACCACGCAGAGGTGACACGACCTCTGACCGAGTGGTCTTAACTTCCGTCTCTCGGGCCGGCCCTGCCATTGTCAATCTGCGGTAACACATGAGCCTGAGGTGACAGGGAAGCAGGTTACACCACCACCACCACCACACGGGAACTGTGGGATCTGTTTTAAAGCAGCTGCTTACTTTCACAGTTTAAATAATTAATCTGAACTTCTGAACCAAAACAGCAAGATGTATAATGTATAAAAGATTTTTTTTCTTTTAATCTGTACAGTAGCATCAGTATTAAAACCTAATTTTAAGACTTTGAGCTTTTGATGTGGAGTATTTTTGTTTGCAAACAATTAAAGTTGGGAAAATGACTTATAATGCCTCAGAGAATCCTCAGCTAATAGGATTTATGGCTTAGGGATTTTAGACCTGCAACACCTAGAGGGGAGAGGGTCAGCATGAAAGCCAACACAGATGAGTACAGATGAGTTTTACTTCCACCATGCGCTCTACTCTGCTTTATAAAACTCAATGAATGCCAAAATTTGTTGCAACTTTTGGAAGTGCTATAGATATGAACAGCTTCTATTCATCAGTAGAGATCCACTGTAACACAGAGTGATTGCTTTGTCAGCTGTTTGGGGAAAAGACAGCAGTGGTAGATTTGCTTGTATTGGTCAGCAGGATGGAGCAACAAGTTTCTTGTGACTCGCCAGGCTGTTTGATCTCCCGGCTGTGAGTAACTACTGGAAAAATAAAGCATCAGAGGGATCCGCTCAGCTCACTGATCTCCACAACAAACAACACTAAGCATGGGAACATAAATACTGAATCAGGAGAAAACACATAAAGGAAGTGCATTTGCATTATTGAACTAAAATTATGTGTAGCATTAAAAGCAGTTGTTATTTAAATAACAGAACAAGGCAGCATCAGCTAATCAGCCTGCTGAGCATAGCATAGTATGTGAGCACCTAAATATTAGAGTAAAAAAAGACTACGCTGTCCCATGTTTCAGATCCTCACTGATTAACCTTCATGAAACTTTTAATATACAGTGCTTTGTTAAGACCAGTACTGTTGTGAGCAGTTGGTCTTTTTCACGAAATAAGAGCCACACTATCGAAATACTACATCTTCCTTTATCTGAAGCAGAAAGTTTGACTTACATAGGTGACTCGTCTGGGTTACTGTGTGGTGTTACTGGGACACATAATCAAATTTAAATTAGTATTCGAAGTATGAGTCTTGAATTCAGAATATTACGGGAAAAATATTATCATTATAATCTGAAGAGTAGCCCCGCCACTATGGCTGAGAAATTAAAGCACTGAAGGGGAAATGCAATATTTCCCCCTGACATCTTATGGAGTAGAAGTACTTTAACATGGAACTACTCAACAAAAGTATTTAAAAGAGTATTTTGGTACAATACATGCTTTTTGGTTTACAGTTTCAATCCTCATGTGGAGCTTTTTAACACGTTTGTTTAATATAAAATTCCCTTCACGGAGCTTCTAACTTCATCAGTTTTGTTATTTTTTCTTACATATTTTATATAGAAGCTATTTTCAGTTGCTCCCTTATTCACACAGGGGTCACCACAGTAGATAGGGCCACATATTTGCTTTTGCAGGATCTGTGCCTCCTCCCACAGTTGAACCAGGGATATTTGGCTTCACAAACAAATGTACATACTACTACACAATGAAGCCGCTGCCATCCTTTTTTTCTGGTCCTAATTTATTGTATTTCATGTATTTAATGTGTGTGTGATTGATCTTATTTTATATCATTTTATGATTATGGTGGCATTAAATAACACGCCAATAAATGTCATTCTGTCCCTAAAGTAAGAGTTTGTGTTTCTCTACATTATTTTCAGGATGTCTTGTCATATTAAGACAGGTTTCAGCCCACTATACCAAACCACTGTGAGGTAGGTGAGGGGGGAGTCTGTCTTTTAAAACTTGCAAATATTATTATTTAACATTACATAGTTACACATTTTGTTAGGTACCCATTTTAACTGCTTATTAATGCAAATGTCTACTCAGTCAATCACCTGTCAAGAAAGAAAGACAATTTAAGTGACTTTAAGGGACATTTTTTGGTACACTTTGGGCTCCTCCTTAGTAGTTCCTCTGCGCATCATTTAAAGACCAAACACCACACCACCTTTATGAGCAGTGTGTACCCATCTTATGAAGGCTGCTACCAGCAGGATCATGTGCTATGCCTTAAATCTCAAATCATCTCAAACTGGTTTCTTAAACACAACAATGAGTTCATTGTACTCAAAAGACCTCCATAGTCACTAGATCTCAATCCAATAGAGCACCTCTGGGATGCAGTGGAGTGGGAGATTTGCACCATGGATGTGCAGTTTACAGATCTGCAGCAACTCTGTCTCTATATTGGACATGATATAGAGACAACTGACTGAATGCATGGCATGAAAAATTAAGGGAGTTCTGAAGGCAAAAAAGGGTCCAATCCAGTACTAGTAGGGTGTATTTAATAAAGTGGATGGTGGAGGTATATTTACACTGATTGAGGGTTATGATACTTTAACTATGGGAGTCAATGCCAACTCAGCCCCACCGTTTGCCCTGCCCTTGTATAGAACAATATAATTGATGTCCATTATATTAAACTATTCTAATTGTCACTGTGAATTAAAAGTCCTGTTAAAATTACACGAGCGATTCCTGTATTGAAAACCATGCAATATCGGATTTATGCAATAACATTTTGCATAACAGAGGAATAAAGTGAAGCACTTAAATAAAATATTCATATTACATGTAGGCTGAGCTCTAATTAGGACATATTTTTTCAGAAGTAACAGCATTATGTTAACAAAGTCTTCCAGCTTGTATCTGCACACTACATGATATAAGTGTGACTTTTAAACTATCACTGATGAGCTCGTTGCTTCTTTGCGATCGACTTTCTGCACAACTGTGAAAAAAGTAAGTGCGACTGCTCCCCCTTGTGGTGAAAGGAAATAGATGCAATAGTAGCATTTAGTCAGTCACAACGCTAGGAGTCGCTGTCCGATATTCTGAGCATCACATTATCAGACCAGAGTATATATGAGTTGGTGTCGTTTGTTTTCTAGCTGTCAACAAACAGTTGCACGGAGCGGAGCTGTATGCTCTCTGTGGGACTGGGCACATTTTCTTGTACTGATTAATAATTGTGAATGGAAAGGCTTGTAAGAGAGTGTCGTTGCTGACTGTGTAGCCTAGCGGGATATCGTTAGCAGCGAAAACCGGTGTATGGTTGTTTTATTCAAGGGAAGACGGAGGCGGCTAATCAGCGCTTGTCGACGACCATGGCAGCGGCGACCGTGGTGGAAGCTGAACCGGCGACGAGCGAAGGTGGTGCCGCTTTCTCTGGCGTCCAGAGCCGGGGTTGGGATGAATCCCAGCTCCGAAAGTATTCTTTCCTCACCAAGCCCATTCCCAGGCTGTCTCACACGGACCCGAGAGCAGAAATGCTAATAAACAATGAGGTAAAATTGCTAAGTTAGCTTATGGGAACTTCTAAGATTCGCTAAAATTGCACTCCGTGTTTTTCCAGAAACCAAAAAAGTAACACTGCAGCACAAACATTTTAGTAACAGCTTCATCTAAGAAAATCTGCCAACGCGGTGACAGTGAAAGATCGTGAACAATCTTAGAGTTTTGTTTAATGTCCAAGGACACATCCTGGACAGATTTAGCCTTATTTTATCACAACACTACATCAGCTCAGTGTGGTCAACATAAATCTGTATGTTGCATTTAAATTTAGCACAGAGACTTTAATTTTCAAGCTCAAATCCTCAGAGTTCCAGCTTGCCATGTAAGGATTTGGCACTGTAAATGGGTTTTCGTGACAGCACATTACACCCAAAGCAAGATGTTTTCTTTTTCTTCCACATTTGGACGCAAACGTATTAAAATAAGCAGACCCAGTATCTGTGCTTTGTGACTTTGCTTGCAGAGCTGTTTGGGGTGACCATCATTGTGGTCTACACACAGAAGTGTTTATAAGAATCAGCGTTTCTGTGGTGTCTTATCTGATATAGGTTTTTCACCTCTCCCCAACTTCTTGATGAAACAGCTGTAGGTTAATTCCAACCATAACAAATGGAAGTAAATGCATGCGTCATCTGCTTAAGGTTGAGGCTGTAATAACTTCTATCTTGAGCAAGCAAACAATATCATAATACGTCCACTGTCTTTCATTGCTCTTATTTTTGTTTAATTTAGCTGGAGCCTTTTACCAAGAGACCTCTCTACACAATAGGTACCCATTACAGGAGTTTACTGATGGGCCACTGACTAATCATGCATAGGTGCATGCCCTGCAAAGAAGTGAATGGCTTCTATGCAGGCCATTTCATTTAAAAAGAAGTGACACCTAAGTCACTCTCCATAGAAAGCTCTAATCACTTCAGTGTTGTCTCACAATAATTTAATGTGGAATATAGAGCTATAAAGGTACTGTTAACCATATTAACTTTCTTCATTTAAGATATGGTATGCATTATGAAACTTTATGGAGTAGGTGTATGTGCCCAACTATAGTCCAAAAGCATATTGCAAAATGGCACATTAATAGAGCTGACCCTTTCTCTGTTTGTAATCAGAATTGGTTTGCACAGAAGTAGACATGTGTCATCTTACTAATACTTCTCCAAATAAACCAGCTTCCTGCTCTGCTTTTTGTTATTCTTCTGCACACTAATTCATGACAGTTTTCAGCTCTTGAGACATGTTTATCTAAGAATAGTAACAGAACATGGATAGTAATATTGTCAAGCTTACTCACATTTCACACTTCATTTTGATTACCATATATGGCACAAGGGAAGTGGAAATTTCTTACACATTTTCACCCCTTTTCTTACACATTGTGTTCTTCCAACTTCCTCAAAACTGGTGCAGTTATCTGTATTTGAGCTTCAAGATTTCTACTGTGCAAATTGTGCAACAGTTGAAAAAAAAGTAATATGTATGATGGTGTAGAATATTTAGCAAAGGTGGGTTAGGGTGGGTAAATGCACTCAGAGATAATCAAATAAGTATAATTGCCCCCCGTTTATTCATTATCATAGGCATCTTTTACACTGGAATTTGTTTATTTGGTGTTGTCATATTGGAGAGACTGCTTTTAACAGCTGCAGCCATTCTGATTCAACCATTAATACATGAGTGAAAAAAAAACACATTGAGGGGTATGTGTAATGTAGATCACAGGTTGTGCTAGGAGTGACCTCTGTAGCTACCAAACACGGCTTCAAGTGTGACATGTCAATTGTGTCGCCTTATTAGCTGTTTAATGTTAACAAAAACATCCATATTAAAACTACCCGACGACCTCAGACTCTCTTTCCCAGCAGTATTAAGGCAGAGTGGACATTATGAGATATATTTAACTATTTTAAAACGACGCACATAAAGCGCAGGCGTAAAAACTAAAGAGAAAAAAAAGATGTATTTGAAGTAAATGGCAGTTTTCCCCCCTTATTTGCTCCCACCTGCCATCTTAATTTAAACACAGACCATAACTAAAGTGTCTATATTTCAAAACGTTACAGTTAGTTGACGGCGTCGAGGATTTACAGCATCATTTCAATCCTTTGCCACCGAAAAGTCTCCCAGTTGTCCGGTGAAAGTGAAACCGAGAACCAGTACAGTGCACAACGTACGAGACACGCGGGCGGCGGGGGCGCGCGCAGCGGTGTACGTTCAGTTAGTCACGTAGGCCTCGCAGCTCAGAGTGTGCTGCCCTATACTCCCCGTGCAGCCCACTGCGAGCTGCTGGGATATATTTATTTAAATGGCATTCAGAGCAGTTATTAAACAAATAGTTTGGGAGATTTTATGAACAATAATGCGACAAAATCAACATGGTGATACACGCAGCAACAGTTAATGTTTATTTTTTATGTTTAATTAATAATTTAATTAATTAATTATTATTCTTACTTAAAAGCTTGAAAAGTCGCCCTTGAAAGACACTTCAGGAGTCTTTTTGCATTCCTCTTAATTTATGCAGCATAGTTATGTGCTGGTCATAAAGGTGAGAAATGTAAAGTAAAACTTTACATTTTTATCCTACCATTGTACACTCGCTGTCCACTATATTAGGTATGCCATTACACCCTGGTAGTACTGGGTTGGATTTCTAATGGCAAAAAGAACACTGTAATCAAAGATTTACACTTATTAGTGTATAATTACATATTCTAACAGATTGATGCATTTTAACAACCTAGAATTAGTCCATAAAAAACAGACAGGGCACAGATTCGCAAAAGCCACCAAGTTGACCGGCCATCTTCAATACAGTAGTTGTTTGACCTGATCATTTTTTTTTTTCAAAGTATATATGACTATTTAACAGTTTTACATGTATGTTTTCATTATGTCTCTGTTTTCCCTCTTTTCCACTCATCCTCTTCCATCTCCTGAACTGAAGTCAGACCTTTGAAATATGAAAAAATGCAAAATATGCTTGTGAACTTCACTGATCCATCAACTCATATTGGACTCCTTTTATAAAATTTGACGTTGTCATTTAGAGTAAATAGATGTGGAAAATTGGCATATTGACAGCTAAGGTAAACAGTGGACTGACAGCCTGCACTAATTGCAGACGAACAGTGGCCAGCTGTTTTTGTTTTGGGGGTTTTTGACCTATGATGGCCACTGTAGCTAGGATTAGGCACTTGAATTGGGTGGGGTAGGAAAACAGAAATTACTTGACTGTAATCTGCAATCTACTGAAGTCTAGTTGTGAGATTTTTCCACGCTGCCATAAAGAATTAAAAGTAGTAGTAGATTCAGCAAATTGTTGGAACCATTCGGCAGATTTTTGTCCATATTGACATGATGTTATCACGCAGTTGGTGCAGAATTTTTGGAGTCCCGCCCATGATACAAATCTCCCATTTCACTATAATGGTGATGGTCATCTATTGCATCGAGAGCTGGTGAATAGGGGGGGCATTTGAATACAGTAAACATTGTTATGTTCAAGAAACCTGTTTAAGATAATTTGCGCTTTGTGACATAGCATGTTAACCTGCTGGAAGCAGCCATCAGAAGAAGATACTGTGGTCATAAAGGGGTGGACATGGTCAGCAACAATGCTCAGGTAGGCTGTGGTGTTTAAATAATGCTCAGTTAGTCTCAGGGGGTCCAAAGTGTGCCAAGAAAATATCCTCCACATCGTTTCACCACCACCAGGAGCGTGAATGGTTGATACAAGGCGAAATGGACATGGTCCATGTTCCAGTCTGGTCTTCTCTTGCTGTATCACATCTTCAAGGTTTGACGTGTTTTGCATTCAGAGATGCTCTTATGCATTGGGTGTGATGAGTTACTTTTTCCTCCTATCAGACTGAAGTATTCTGACCTGTCTCCATAAACAATGTCATGTTCAAAGTCACTTACGTCACCTTTCTTCCACATTCTGATGCTCGGTTTGATGCTCGGTTGGCAGCTGAGTGTATAATTTATTTTAATGTAGACTATGAAAAGATAATTCCAAAAATCACAAATTCAACAGCACTCTTTAAATACTGAGTGCACTTGTTCTTAAAGTAAACACATGGATTAAAATTGCGTGAAATAAAGTTTGATTTTTCTGTTGTGTTGAAATGCTTTTTATTATTATTATTTTTCAGGAACCGGTGGTTTTGACAGACACAAACCTCGTGTACCCAGCTCTCAAATGGGATATCGCATACCTCAAGGACAACATTGGAAACGGAGACTTCTCTGTTTACATTTCAGGAAACCACAAATTCCTTTACTACGATGAGAAAAAAATGTGCAACTTTGAGAACTTTGTCCCGAAGTCTCAGCGAATGGAAATGAAGTTTAACGAATTTGTGGATCAAATGCACGAAACGGAGGAAAGGGGAGGAGATGAAAGGTAGGATGAAATGATATTTTAGTCGAAGCGGTGTATTTGTTATATAGGCGTATCGACAGGGGTGCACATAAGTGGTGCACATGTGCTGTCAAAATAAAAGACGCGCACCAGATAAGAAGTTGCAACGTGCGTTTGCGTACAAAGGTACTGTTTTTGTCCACTACAGTGGGATTTTCATGGCATATTCTGCACCACATCTCTGTGCGTTCATCATTTGTTTGAAACCAGCTCGCCTCCTGCAACCACTTTTCCGAGAATACGCGCTTCTTTTGTGGTTCGGACTCCTTCTGACATTTTTTTGGAGGTGGAGGAACACCAAAGTAATTGCTTAAAGGAGCTTGCTTCTTCGACATCTTTAAGAGTTCTAAACAAATGTCTGTCCTCCTCCAGAAAATCTTATGTACGCAAACGCGCGTTGCAACTTCTTATCTGGTGCACGTCTTTTATTTTGACAGCGCATGCGCACCTGCGGACCACTTATGTGCACCCCTAAGTATAGAAATATGGTGCACGAGGGCCTCATTGAATGTCAGGGACAAGATGTGTTTGTGCTGCAGGTGTACTTAACAGGAAAGGGTTTTTTCACTCACAGTGTAATGCAGCAGAGGAAAGCGGTGGCCATGACTAAGCATTTTCACCAGAGAACCATGGGAGAAGCTTATTCCTGTGACCTGACTTGGCCTGGCAGCACACACACAGGCAGATCATTTACTAAAGAGAGCTGACTGTTGACTTGCCGACGCTCAAAGCGGCTTTTACCTATTTGGATTTAAACTAGCCACCTCCTTAAATGCTAAATTTCTCTTTGTGGTGTAAAGGAGATGTAGTCAGCTGAAACAGGAGCTGGTAAACAAGTTGTCATTGTACACTATAATGCCAGTGCATTTTATACCACTTTTGTCTCAGGCTCATACATTTTGCATGTGCCCTTTTCTCGTGCATTTCAAGGGTATATCTGCAGCAGACGCTGAACGACACAGTAGGAAAGAAGATCGTTGTTGACTTTCTTGGTTTCAACTGGAACTGGATCAACAAGCAGCAAGCCAAGAGAAGCTGGGGACAGCTGACATCCAACCTCCTGCTCATAGGCATGGAGGGTGAGGCTCTGGCAGCAGAAAGAAAATAAGTTCTAAGTTATTTTTGTCACCCCTGCGTTACGTTTTCTGTTACTCTGTCACTGCAGGCAATGTGACGCCAGCGCATTATGACGAGCAGCAGAATTTCTTTGCACAGATTAAAGGCCATAAGAGATGCATCCTCTTCCCGCCAGACCAGTTTGAATGTCTCTATCCATACCCTGTTCATCACCCCTGTGACAGACAGAGCCAAGTAAGTTGTACTGTAGGTGCAGAAGTTTGGTCAAATGATTAAAGAATAAGATGAATAGACTGATTCTTGTATAGCGCTTTTCTACTCTCCTGGAGTCTATACAACACGCTGGGTTCACCCATACACAGTTATCTATACTTTCTAACTGTCATTCATACACATTCATACTCCGATGGATCCATCGGCGAGCAAGTCGGGGTTAATATCTTGCCCAAGGATATTTGGCATGCAAACTGGGGGAGCCAGGGATCGAACCACCAGCCTTCCAATCAGCAGTTGACATGCCTCCTGAGCTACAGCCACCCTGAAAGTTGCTAAATTTCTTTAAACTTTCAGCAAGATGACTGTTATTTCCATTTTTTTCTAAATTTTTAAATTTTTTACAGTTTTAAAATAACAAAAAAAGGGAAAGGATCAGTCTCTGTTTAATGACACCCTCTTTGCCAAAGCCATACATATGTTTTTTTTTCCCTCTTTCTACTGAGAGTCTCAATTCTTGTTTGGCAAGTTTTATCCTGCAAGATGTGTAGTTGTGTTATTCTCTTGTATGGGTCTTGTATGCTCTTGTCCTTTGAGGTTTATAAATATATTGTTGGTGTTCACTTTAAGGGCCTCAGGGCTGTGGTGCAATCTGTATTTTGTGTCCCTTGCTGTTATGGATTTTAAACTATCATTATGTGCTGCCAGGGGTTGGCATTTACATAAATGCGTTCTTTCCGGTTAAATGTTCCCATACTACTAGCTGCAGCACAAACCCAAAGTGCCTTTGAGCTGCCCCATTCAGAAGGGGTGTTCATGTTATTAAATCCTGCCTCCCTTTTTTTTTACTCTAAATAAAAGCCTGGCTGCTTATTGGTGTCAGTTTTATTTCAACAATATCAGTTCTGATTTACAAATTGTGTCAGGCTTGCTTAGATGTTACTTTGCAAACTTGCAGAGGTGTTGCTGCACAGTAAGACGGTGCACCACCACTCCAGAGACTGTTAAAATGTTCCCAGTCTTTTGCAGATCATCAGTGGCAGTCCGACGTGCAGTTTTCTTGCTCTTCCAGACTTGCCCTGCGGCATTTGTTTGAACTCCTTATTTGCATTACAAATTTGAAGAAACTGTTACCTTTGCTTATCATGTGATAGCCTTCTCTTCTGTAGGCTATCATCTTTTTATTTTCACAGTGCCAGTATGTGTTTGTGCCACTCTGCGTTTTCTGTTAGAGATGAAAAGATGGGTTGAAAGGTGACACTTGCCCAACATTGTATACTTACCTGTTTGACACGCACAACACACAGAAAGCTTCACATGTTTGATCTCCGCTCCAAAGCCAGCTCCATCCTGCGAAAAAGCTTTCGGTCATGCTCACGTGCAGATGCCTACGCTGTGTCCATATACGCTGCCTGGCTGAAAAGAAAAAAGGCACACAGTCTAATAGTTCATTGGACCAATTTTAGCTTTGATGACAGCATGCGTTCATTGTGGCATCATTTCTATAAACTTATGCAATGTCACAGCATTTATTTCCAGAGTTGCATTCATGGTTTACCAAGCTCTTGTGTTGACAGTGGGGGAGTTGGACCACTGCCTAATGTCTTCTCCAGCACATCCTAGAGATTCTCAGTGGGGTTAAGGTCTCGACTCGGGTGGCCAGTCCATGTGTGAAAATGTCTCATGCTCCCTGAACCACTCTTTCGCAATTTGAGCCCAATTAATCTTGGAAGCTCAGGAAAAAAAAAAGCTAAAAAACCTGGTCATTCAGTTTATACACCTCACTTTTTAAATTGTAATTCTCTTAAACCTCAACCTGACCAACCGAAGCAACCCCAGATCATAATGCTTTCTCTATATACTTTTTTTAAAACCACATTTCTAACTCAAAGATGATTGTTGAGTTGTTAAGTGATTTTCTTTGCTTGATTCAGGAGAGTAACTTGACCCTTCAGTAACAGAATATTATCTTTGCCACAACCACAGGATGCGTCTAGCTGCAGAGTTGTTTTAGAGATGAGAAGCTGCTCACTGCGTCAGCTAGGCTTAAATAATCTCTTGCTAGCACATTACACATTAACCGCTGTAGTATTTATTTAATTGAAGACTCTTAAGTATTTGCTTAATTAAATGAAGAGAGTGACTTCCTTTGGCCAGGCAGTGTTTATACACAGATATGAAAGTAAAAAGACAAAAATAATAATGCTCATTTAGTGGAATTTAGTAACATAATTATTCAAATGTGTCACACCAGGCAGTTGCATAGACAGCACATGAAAACTGGATAAGGTTTTAGTAATATTTTTATTTTTTAATTAGTTATGATTATAAAGAAGCCTTAGCTCCATTGCATTAAGGGTTAGGGTTCTATTTCATTTGCACTTTGCTCCTTTCCTTTTTTTATACTGTAAAAACTGTGAAATACAAAAATAATACAACATTGCATAATATATTGAAAAGAATATTTCATCTTTAACTTTCTAATATAATTATTTGTCACATTTTGATGAGTACTGACCAAACCTTTGTGTGCTGTATGTAGCAATACACCCAAGTTTGATTCCATGGACTTCGTTAATGTGATAAGATTAGATTTGTTTCATTAATTTAACTTAATAACTTTAATCTGCATCTTTTAAATGTCTTTTGTATTTCATGAACACAGATGAGTAATATGTTCCTGTTTCTTATATAATTTATTTATTCATTTATAGGTTGATTTTGATAACCCAGACTATGAGAAGTTTCCAAATTTTAAAAATGTTGTTGGCTATGAGGCTGTCGTGGGCCCCGGAGACGTGCTCTACATCCCAATGTACTGGTAAGAATAATATCTCTGTGATCTTTCTATCAATCTTATGTGTGCAAACATTTCTTGGGAGCCCTGTCAGCTGTTGTGTTTTCATGCTCTCTGCATGGCTTTGTTTTATTTAAGCACTTAGCAGGCTGTTGGAGGATTATCCATCAGTCGTTTGGTTTAGGTTGGCCTCATTAATTAGCCCAGAAAAAGCAAGCGTGACATTAATGTGTCATGTGATGGAGTTCTCTGAGTCACACTTTCACATCCATGCGAGGAGGAAGTGTGCGTTGCATTCCGCCTCTGTCATTTAAGAGGTTTTAAAACATGATCTTTTCCTTTTTTAGTGTAAAAGTAGTGTCTTGTGTCACTTTATCACTCAGTACATGTCTGCTCATCGTATTATGCCTTGCTATTTTAGCTAATGTAGCCAAAGGACAAATGAGCTTGTGCCATGGGGAGGAGTCAGTTGTCTGTCCATCTGTCCACGATTCACAATCCACTACTCCGCTTTGAGCATTGGTCAGATTTTGGTGAAATTTGTGCACAGTGATCAAACCCTTTGGTCCCTTTTTTAATGAGCATTTTTCCATTTTCTCCATCATAAACTTCACGCGCACTCCTTAGTTTAACCAAATTCTTGCTCCTGATGTATATTTTTCAGTTTAAACCATTTAGCAAGGTTGTTGACATGAGTCTCTGTGTTGACGAGTGATGTCATGACTTGCTGTATGTGTTGCATAGCACTTGATTTCCTTCAGATCAGGGGTGTCAAAAATCATTTTACGTCATGTGTCACATAAAGCTCAGTTTCATCTTAAATGGGGCGGACCAGTAAAGATGTTGCCCAATATCTCATATAAGAAAATACACCTCAAAATTGTTACTTTGAGTGTGAAGAAGGTTACCTGCATATTTAATGCCAAATGTGTCTTAAGAAAAGTACAATTTCATTAATATATCTGTTTGTCAACATAATAAGGAAATGCTGCTGTAGTAAATCAAATGAACTGGTCAGCAGGGCTTGTACTGTAAAGAAATGAAAGACGGTTCCATTATTTACTTTGTAAAACCATTAAAAAAAAAACCCTAAATCCTATTGTAAATGGTTTTAAAATGATTACTAACAATAAAAAAGTTAAATTTTCTTACAGTTGGTGTTTATCTGTTGAGCTACTTGGTGTATGACAGATTATAAGTTATTACAGGTTGTGTCTTGGTGTAGACTAAAACTAATGAAAATGCAGTTGAAGGCTCAAAAGTTTTGGCCTCCTCCTTTGAAATACTACCTTTTCCAAAAGCATCCTGTGGGCTGGATTGGATCCTTTGGTGGGTTGCCTCTGGCCCACGTGTCGTACGCTTGAAACCCCTCCTGTACATGGATCATGATCTTACTGGTCTTGATCATGGAGGACGTGGTCATTAGGAAGGCAATGTAGAGGCCTTCTTGCCACCATTATGCATTAAGCGCTACATAGCACTGAAACTGCACTTTTAAAAGTTCTTAATGATCTTTTATTAATTGCTGACTCTAGTAACTCTGCCATTTTTGTGCTTTTAGATCTAAGTGTGTCATTTGATACAGTAGATTGTGGGATTCTCTTATCAAGACTGGAGAGCTGTGTGGGTATTAAAGGAACTGCACTTGAATGGTTCAGATCCTATTTAACTGATAGAAGTTTTTCTGTCAGGCTTCATCCACATCCACCTACCTTACATGTGGGGTTCCCGAAGGATCTATCCTGGGCCCAGTACTCTTTTCCCTTTACTTGCTCCCATTAGTCTCTATTTTCAGGAAACACGGAATCTCATTTCACTGTTATGCAGATGATTTTCAAATTGACTTTCCTCTTAAAAAGAATTCTACGGACTCTCTAAAAGTGTTGCTAGACCATTAAATCATGGTTTGCATTAAATTTTTTGAATGTAAAGGACAAAAAAACTGAGATTGTACTGTTTGGACCTTCTGACCCTCACTCTTCTCTTAAGGTTGACCTTGGTCCTCTGGAAAAGTCCAGAAATCCCTTTGCAAAGAATCTCGGAGTTTTCTTTGATAGCAGCTTTTCATTTGAGAAACAAATAAATTCTGTTGTAAAAGCCAGCTTCTTCTAGCTCAGGGCACTTGACTAAGTGCCCTAAACTAATGTCATTTGCTGACTACATGCATTTATTTAATCCAGGCTTGACTACTTGGCTACTGTAACAGTCTTTATTTTGGTATCAGCCAGGCTCTGCTCTCTCGTCTTCAGCTAGTTCAAAATGCTGCAGCTCGACTCCTGACAGGCACTTGTAAACATGACCATATTTCCCTAGTCTTGGCTCATTTACACTGGCTTCCAGTACGTTGTAGAATTGATTTTAAGATTTTATTGCTTGTTTTTAAATCTCTAAATGGATTAGCTCCATCATACCTCTCTGATCTGTTAACTACAAATACTCCTAGTAGAACTCTCAGGTCAGCTGATAAATTGCTTCTAGTTGTCCCTAGAAGCAGGCGAAAAAACAGAGGAGATCGGGCCTTTGCGATTGCTGCACCCAAACTTTGGAACAGCCTGCCTCTTGAAATTAGGATCTCTCCAACATGACATTTATAAAACCTGTTTGAAAACACATTTCTACTCTCTAGCTTTTAATTGTCACTGAGTTTTGTTCTGTTCTTTGTGTGTGTTTGATCTATTTTTTTTACTATGTACAACACTTTGGTCAACCTGTGTTGTTTTTAAATGTGCTTATAAATAAATTGATTGATTGATTGATGCTAACATCAGTAATATGGTCAATCCTATGAAATGCTGATGCTTTATTTTTAAAATCCTTTTTATGACCATGTTGATAACTGACAGTGGAGTCAAAATCCTGCTTAACTCAGTCACTTTTTATTTGGTGGTAAAGGAGATAAATTTGTCGCAGATATGACTGTTTACGTGAATCCTTGACTTCTCGGTGTTCGTTCGTGCTGCACAGACAACCAATGACAAGAAAACATATCGCTTACTTTGTGTACTTCACACATTACAAGAACCTGTGAATTGTGATACTGGGGTACTACACCATTGACATTCTGTTTTATTTTCACTTAGACTGCTTGTAGTTTCTTACTTGCATTTATAATTCTGGGGTTAAGTGATGGGTAATTTTGCTCTAAGACATTCAGTTCACTGGATTTAGTTGATTGTATTTTTCTTCTGTCTTCAGGTGGCATCACATTGAATCGCTGCTGAATGGTGGAGTGACAATCACTGTAAACTTCTGGTACAAAGTATGTACAGTCACTTTAAAATATGTGGTATATTGCCACCACATGTCTGTTGATGATTGCTTAGCTATTACATGTACTTCCAGGGTGCCCCCACACCTAAGAGGATAGAATACCCTCTGCGGGCTCATCAGAAAGTAGCCATCATGAGGAATATTGAAAAGATGCTGGGAGAAGCACTCGGAGATCCACATGAGGTAAAAAAAAAAAAAAAAGAGCAGTTTCTAAAGTACTGGCAGTGTACATGATTGCACAAAGTTGCACATGAATGTCACATTGCCTGATTCTAGAACATCAAATAAGATCCACATTTAGGTCACCTGTTACATGAAATCACTGGGGCATGCTGACCCTTCCAGCAACCCAGTTACTGTGAATATTTATGGCTTACCTGATTTAGTACAGAGGAAAGATATATATGCAGTTCAGGACAATGCAGTGAGCATAACAGTGTAGTAAGAGTACGTGATGTAGCTTATCCTAAACAAAACCCCCTTTTTCTTTTACTGTAGGTTGGACCTTTGCTGAAAACAATGATCAAGGGGCGATACGAGCAGGATCTTAGTTAGACCCCTACCCTTAAAAACTGCTGACTAGACTGCTTCGGAAACTGTGTGCATGTGATGCTGACACTGCTGTGTGTGTAAGCACTGTCTTTGGAGCTACGCATCACTGCATGGCAATAAGCGGCCATCATGAAAACGCTGCTTCAGTCTTCGAGTGCCATTGTCATTGGAAAAATACAAAAGCAACAGAAGAAACATCGATCAAACATTCATGTTCTCGTTTTCTTTTGTCTATTCGTACCGATCTGTCAGTGCTGTATCAGTTTTACAATTCAAGCTGCTGATTGTCTGAGATTGGTACCTTTAGAGAAGCATTGTTATTTTAACCACTAATGAAAGAGTCAGAGGGGTATTATATGTACAGTGCACATCAGGATATATGTCATATACATGGAGTAACACAGTTTTGGTTTGACTAGTAAATTTCATTTCATTATGTTGTAATAATATTCTTTATTGCAATGCAAAGACAGCTTTACAGCTGAGGATTTTGGGAATATTTATCTGCGTTTTCTCTATGCCTACTTATGACTTGCTTTGGAAAGCAATCAGCAAGACTTCTTGTTTAAAAAAAGATATAGGCACAGATGTTAATGCAGTACAATAATATTCAAAAAGTGTTGTTTTTTTTTTTGGGGGGGGGGTCATATAGCTGAAGGAATATGTCACATTCTTTTTAGCAGTGATTTTTTTTTCCTTTGTGTGAGTTATAAACTGCTCTTTGAGTTTTTACTTCAAGGCCTTTCTTTGGGATGGGCTACTCTGCACACCAGTATCAGGAGAATTGGGTACTTGAAATGAGCCGATCAGTGCAGGTTTAGTTGCAACTTTTAAGAAAGGAAATATGAAATTTGTGGAAACCTCTTAGAACAATTACACATCATGTTGTCTTGGGTTAAAGGGTGTAAAACTGGTTTAAAATAACTCACAGAAACATGTTAAAATGCTATTAGTTTAGTGAACTAGCAGGAAAATGTGTGGAATGTAGCTCAGTATCAACCACTGCAGTGCAACTAAGAAGCACCACCTAGTGGTTAGGTTTGCATTTGCTTTTCAAGCTTGATGTGGACTATGACGCTACAGTACACTTAATCAGAATGTTATATTACATGCATCCATTTTGAAATTAAATCATTCTGTAATGTATACAAACATTTAATTCCTGGTGAAAATGCTGCATTTGCATCTGTAGATGACAAAAATGTATTTTTACTTTCACACAAACAGGTTTTTAAGATCTTGAAGCGAGAGCGACTTGAAAGATGGCTGTCATAGAAGTTTAAGCTGCTCTCTCGAGTTGTTATTAATGTGTACATTAAATAAAAGGGACACCATTTGGTACACGCTGTGTGGCCACAGTATTAAAAGCGAGCACAGTGGGGTACGGTGGCTTGTGCACGTCAAAGTAGCATCCACACGAATGCTACAGTAGGAGCATGGTTTCTCAGAACATAGCAGAACAGTTTGATTAACTTAAATATCAGTGGTTTTAATGTTGTGGCTGACTGGTGTCCTGTGCAATATGTGCCAAACCAACCAGTAGATGGTATCTTCATAATGTAACTGAATAAATCGGTGAGATGAACCCTTGAAATGGAAATATACATATATTGT